TGTGTGGCTTCGCTCCCTTTTGGAATTTGAAGTTTTGCTTTTTAAATAAATTTTGAAGAAATGCTGCACATTCTGGCAAAATGCACATAAACAAGATTCCACTGTGCTCTTCAGTGAGGTGATCAGGGGGCTTCTGGAACTGCAAGAAAATGTGTACAGGTACTTCTTGCAGTCTGTAGGTTGCCCACTCCTGAGTAAATGTTTCTCAAGGATTGGTAGGTTTTTCTTCATGACAAAAGTATTGGAATGGTCAAGAATAATAATATAGCCCTTGCTGTTAGAAAATATAATATGTGTTAACTGCCCCTCATTGCCTTTTCTGTTCTTTTAGGGATGCTCTTTTTAGTTATAATCCCGCTGAATATGTAGCTGAAGCCTTGCAACTCCCTGATTTCCAGGATTGTGTGCAGAAGTGCCAAGAGAGCTTGTCAGTGAAACCAGCATCATCAGGTCAATAAGCTATCTGTACCAACAGGGCCAGTCAAACAGCTGTCTGTGGAAAAACATGCATTTGTTATTTCTGATATAGTTTGAGGAGCTCCTGTAATAGATACAAACTTTACAAATAAGAGAGTTCGTTAATCTCTAAAAGTCAACAGTTGAAAAACAGGTCAACTTTGAAGGCTCCTGCTTTAATCATTTATAAAAGTTGATATCCCTTGAGTTATTTGAGTTGTTTGTCTTCTGAAATGGGGAGTTGTGCTCCAGCAATCCAAAGGTTATTTGGTTTTTTGTTATAGCTGCCTAATTGTTATGTCCTTGTGAAGGACCACTGCTCAGACAACAGCCAAGAGTGGAGGAGGCAACCTATACACTAGACCATTTTTTGAGATGTAATGTATGGTGTTCTGAGCTTCGTTACAAAGCTAAAGAATGAGAGCCCCTTACCCTTTGCCCATCTTTCCGTGGTTCCATGGTTTCTTGTATCTTCAAGCTGAGAAAAAACGTTTTTTAGAAGAGTCCAGCCCTTTTGACACTCTGAGGATGTTAACTGTCACCATTCTTCTTGTGTGACATGTTCTGTTTTCCAGCTGAAGGAAAAAAACAGAATATCTTTAGAATATGGCTTGGCTCAGTTTCAGTAGAATGCCTTTTGGCTTAAGATATAAGCAAATGAACCTTACTAATATTTCTGATATTTCTGTCTACTCACTTTTCATACCTTGAGTTTTCATAGTGCAATGTCCCAGTAAGTAAATAAATCCATCCATTCAACCAAAGATGGGAGAGTATGAATAGTAGGATTTTTTTTTACTGCTGAATCTTCAGTCGCCAAGATTTGTGCCATGTAGATTTGAGACATTGGGCAGAGATGTTGGGTGAGCCCAGCAGAAAGGTTGTGTAATTGTAGGATAATAAGTTTGTTTTGAAGACCTTGGCTACACTGTATTAATGTTACTGTTGTAATTATTTTAATTTTGGGGTTTGATTGTTATTGTTTTAATTATTAGCTGCTCAGAGGAATGACAATGTAAATCATTTAAATAAAAAATGAATTATATGGCAGAGCTACATCTTAGGGTTGGTGGAAGACACATTAATAAAAAAAAAGTAATATAACATTCAGAGCTTCTTATTTATAACCTGGCTGTGGCAAATTATTTATATTATGGGCTTCCTACTCTGCACAAGGAGCTCATTTTTAAGTATCAGTCCAGATCCTTGGTTTGCATACATTTAACTGCCTTTTTCTCATTTTCTAGAAAACCAAGATTGCTACCCAGAAGTTGTGTTCTTAGGAACTGGCTCTGCAGTACCAATGAAAATACGGAATGTCAGCTCTACCCTGGTGAATATTAGGTATGTTACCGTTTTGAGGAAATCGGTGGGCAGTTGCTCACAAGGAGACATGAATGGGTAAAAGTGCAGTACCTGATTTGTAACTTCTCCAGCAGAAAACATTTGCCTTCACTGTTGATTCTGACTTCAGTCACATTCAGCTGGAAATTGATGTAGGAAAGAATCCTTTCTAATGTTTCTGTCTTGATTTCACCGGTATATCTCATGCTAACTGTTGTCTTCTTTATTTAACTTAAAATGCTAGTTCCTGATTTTTTTTATCAAATTGAAAAGCTTGTTATTTTAATCATACATCTGAGAGGTAAAACTAAAGGCAAATAAGCAAAGCACACGGAAGTAGAACCTTGCATAATAAAGTCAGGAATAAGCCTAGAATATCCTAGGATAAAGTTCTACAGTTAGGATACTGTATCCTAGGATACAGTTCTACAGTATAAATGCAAACTAGGATTTTTTAAATATACTTTTGCATTAATCACATTTAGATGGTGGGAAGACATACAGCAGAACTGCTACCTTAAGCTCTTGAATTAAATACTGTGAGGGAAGGTGTGGCATGCCAGGATCATGGCTTCTGTAAATGTAGTCTTTTATCTATTGATAATGTATACATTCTCTTCTGCTAGTCCTACTCAGTCTGTGCTTCTGGATTGTGGTGAAGGAACTTTTGGCCAGCTTTGCCGCCACTATGGAGATGAAATTGACAAAATATTGTGCAACATTGCAGCAGTATTTATTTCTCATATACATGCTGATCATCATACAGTGAGTAATGTGTAAATAATTGCACTGCAGTTTTATTTTTCTCTTATTTGTTACAGGTAGTCCTCGCTTAATGATGGTAATTGGGACTGGCAACTCTGTTGCTAAGTGACGTCATAAAGTGCGACATCATGTGTCTGCGCTGACTTATGATGGCAATTGCAGCAGTCCCAGTTGCCATTGTTAGGCAAGCCCACGTGGTCGCAGCGTCTCATGGTCATGTGAACACCATTTGTGACCTCCTGCTGGTTTCCCCATTGACTTTGCTTGTTGGAAGCTGGCAGCGAAGGTTGCAAATGGCAATCACATGATTGCAGGATGCTGCAATGTCATAATCGCAAGCTGGTTGCCAAATGCCCAAATCGCAGTCGTGTGACCGTGGGGATGCTGCAACAGCCACAACTATGACAACCATCCCCCTCATTCAGCGTCATTGTAAGTTCGAACAGTCGCTGAATGACTGGTCATTCAACAAGGACTACTTGGATATTAAATATAATCAGTGGTCTGGATTTTATTGTATACCCTCCTTGCTTCTATGTTTTTCTGTCAAACTATAGACAATCCATTTATGTAGCTAATTTTTCTCAGTTGCAAACAACTTTGAAATTACTTTAATATTGACTGGTTAAACAACCAGCCAAATTTGTTAACATCAGTATGAACAGTATTTCAAAACCACTGATTATGCTTTTCTTTTCTAGCATTAGGTAAAACTATGTTGTCTTCAACATATTGTGAGAGAGGGCATCTTATATAGGTTGTTTTTTTGCCTTTCTACAATCACCTTCCTTTAAGAAGAAACATTTAAAGAGGAGTGTATTAGAAATAAGCTGTCACCTATTCACAATTTACCAACTTTCTTTCTTCTAGGGCTTGTTAAATATCTTGTTGCAGAGACATCGTGCACTTGTAAGTATTTATTTATTTATATGATTTATAAAGCTTCCCATCTCACAGCAGTGACTCTGGGCGACATACAGAAATTAAAACCATCATAACAATCATAATCATAACCCATGATGCTCCAGTTAACAGTAACACACAAAACAAAAGCCACATCACCAGCAGAGGTCATCTAACTGTCTGGCCCAAATGCCTGGGGTAACAGCCAGGTCTTCAGAGCTTTCCGGAAGTCTATCTGAATCTCTGAGGGGATGCTGTTCCACATGGCAGGCACAGCCACAGAGAAGGCACAACCCCTGGGTGCAACACGATGGCACTGTTTGATGGAGGGACCTGAAGCATGTCCTCCCTGTTAGACCTGGTGGGATGAGCAGAAACAGTGGGGGACAGAAACAATGGGGGACAGATGGTCCTGCAAATAACTTGGTCCTATGCCATGTAGGGCTTTATAGATGGTAACCAATACCTTGATTTGGATCTGGAAGCCTGCTGGGAGCCAGTGCAGCTTGTGAAGCAGTGGTCTTAAATGAGTGTATCAAGAGATACCCAAAACTGCTTGTACCATTGTGTCCTGGACCAGTTGCAGCTTCTGAATGCTCTTCAAGGACAGCCCCATGAGGAGTGCTTTACAGTACAGGTAGTCCCCAGTTTAAGAACAAGATCCATTCCAAAGTATGACCTTAAGTCGAATTTGCAAGCCGGAACAGTATTATTGTATAATACTATATAAGTAATATTGTGTAATGAACTCGAACCATTGTGTATTTAATTCAAAGCATTGTGTATTTAACTTGAATTTTGCTACAGTAGGCTCCGTTCTTAACTATGGGTCGTCCTTAAATCAGGTGTTCTTAACCTGGGGACTACCTGTAATCCAAATGGAAGGTGGTCATAAGCAAAGCCTCCGGTTCATGAATGGGTGCCATTGGTACACAAGATGAACCTGTGCAAAGGTTCCCCTAGTCGCAGCTGACACTTGCTCTTTGAGCAGGGGCCATGGGTCCAGGAGGACCCCCAAATCAAGCACCAGCTCTGACTAGGGAAGTGCACCCCCAAGGAGACTTAAAGATGTCAGTCTTGCCACGGTTGAACCAAAGCCTGTTCTTCCCTGTTCAGACCCACATGGCCTCCAGGCACTGGGAAAGGACCTCCTTTATTAAGAGTACCCAAGTATCAGAAGAATATACAGGGATTAATTCTTGCCTTGTTTTCTAATGTAACCTCACAGTTTACTAATTCTTGCAAAATCTCTCATCATTTATTTACTTATTTTTCTTCACTCAGGTATCTCGGGGGGAGTCTCCCAACCCACTGTTAATGGTTGCACCCACAATACTTATGACATGGCTGAATCAATACCATGATCACTGTCAAGAGATCCTGGGGCATATCAAGTATGTAGATACTTATGTGAGACATTGAAGTATATTTGTAGCAATATTATTATTTGTGTATGTGTTTGGTTTTACTCTGTTTTTACTGTATTTTTATATTGTTTTTATTGTATTTTAATTAATATTTATTGTTGTTTTATTGTGAGTTTTACTCTGTTTTTACTGTATTTTTATATTGTTTTTATTGTATTTTAATTAATATTGTTTTACTCTGTTTTTACTGTATTTTTATATTGTTTTTATTGTATTTTAATTAATATTGTTTTACTCTGTTTTTACTGTATTTTTATATTGTTTTTATTGTATTTTAATTAATATTTATTGTTGTTTTATTGTGAACCGCCCAGAGTCACTTTTTCGTGAGATGGGCGGTATCTAAATTTGAAATATAAATAAATAAATAATAAAATATGTTTCAAGTGAGCTACTGTTAACCGAAAGGTGACACACCAAGATGGGTCACTTGAGACTTCACTGTTCATACCTTGCTATATCCCCAGAAGTTATAGCTGTAAGCATTACTCACCATATGGAAACCATGTCTTTTTTGTATCAGCTTATATTCCACTCTTCATCAAAGGAACTCAGAGCAGCATGCATGGTTTATCACTTTTATTCTTGTTGTAACCCTATATTGTAAACTACACCAAGAGAGTTTTCTAATCCAAGAGCATTCAGTGGCCCTGTTCCCACAAAACACTTAATCCAGTTGGTCATTAACCTGGTTAGATCTCCCTACTAGTGATTTTGGAACCCACTTTCTCCAGGAAGTGCCATTGTCTGATGAACCCTGTGCCAGGAGAATACTGGCATGATTTCATAACAGCACTAGCTACTCTCCCATTGGCCTAGCAAGCAGCAGTAGATATGGCTTAAAATGTGCCGCAGCCTGTTTTTAAGAAGTGTATTTTGTGCTATCAGGCCTTGGCAATGAATTTTATAATGGAAAAGGCTTGCTTTTTTCAGCTGTTCTGTCTCTTCAGCTTTTTTTCTTGGAGATAGCAGTGCAAAATGAGGCAGTTGAATAGATTTGACGTTCCCAGGATACAGCTGATTGGACTGAATTAGCTTAGCTTAGATTGATTCTGCTTTGGGCTGAATCTAGCCCCATGGGAATCAGTTCATAGGGTCAGTTGACCCAGTTGTGGAAACAGGGCCAATGAGTTTCATGTCAGAATGGAGATTTGAACTTTGGTATCTCCTTAATTCTAATCTGGCAATAATTGTATTAGCACCTTGGTGCTCAGTTTAGTTATGGGTTTGAAGAAGTTAGAGATCGGGGTGAATGAATTAATTTAATATAGTAATTTAGTGTCTTGTAAACCTCTAGGAAAACTACCTAGTTTCTCTGTTGGGGTCCTAACTTGTTTAGAAGAGGAGGTATAGGTACATTTCACATAGATTTGATTCAGTTTGCTGGTTATTTTTTAACCTCTGCAGGGTTCTACTTGATCTCATACTCTTTAAATCATTGTTCATCTAGATCAGAATAATGTGCTGGATGACAAAATATTTATTAGAACCTTGTTGGTAACAGTTCCACCAAATGTTTATTATGGTTAGTTATTATATGTTAATCTTTAAAATAAAAAGATTCAGCATTGCCAGTTTAGAGCAATTTTACATTCATGTTGAGACTTGTGATTAATTTTATTCTTTATGAAATTCATTGAGTATGTGGATAAGCAGGTAATGGGATGAGCCATTAGGTTCTTCTAATGAAATTGGTTGATGTGAGCAGAAAATAATACTACATTTGATAGCTAATAACATTAGGAATTTGAAAGAAAAAACAAGTGTCATAATGGTGTGTACTTATGAAGATGATATTATTATTATTATTATTATTATTATTATTATTATTATTATTATTATTATTTCTCCCCCACCCATCTCCCCCACAATAAGGGACTCTGGGCAGCTTACAAAGACATTAAAACTATAAATATATATACAATACATAATATATATAGAATTAAAACAATACTAAAAAAAGAAAAACCAAGAAGATGGAAAATCGGGCCGGGGACAGCTGGCCACTATGGGGCTAGCCATCTCCCTGCTTGAGATATTCCCTCCCCGCCCGAGGCCAAGTGAGAGAGCCAGGTCTTCAAGGTCCTCTGGAAGGCCAGGAGTGAGGGGGCCAATCGCACCTCCGGGGGTAGAATGTTCCAAAGAGCGGGGAATATTACTTTCCCCCTTCATACCAAGTAGTTTTGCTGCTATTAAAAGTTCTTTTAACTCACTCGTTCACAAAACAAAACCATACATGCTTTTACTATAATTGTGGGTCTCTCTTTTTTCCTTTCAGAATGATTCCTGCCCAGTTTTTAAAAGAAAACTGTGATATATTTAAACCCAGTGCAAAAATGTATACTGAATTGCTTATGGAGAAATGTGACTTCAGAGAGGTAAAAAAAAGGCATGGGATAGACTGGGATAGGAAAAAGCACATAGAGGTTTCAAGTGGTTAATGTGCTGTGATATTTAGTTTCAGACATGCGAAGTCCGGCACTGTAAGAATGCCTTTGCTTGTTCCATGGTCCATAAATCTGGTTGGAAAATAGTCTATTCTGGTGACACTATGCCATGTGCCGCTTTAGTTGACATGGGTAAGCTACGCATTTACCTCTTTATTACTGGGTATACTTTGTGTCAAACCATATGTTCGAAACTCTTCTTATACCGTTCTTAAAATGTCACAAATACGGTTTTCACAGGAAAGAATGCTTCTTTGTTGATTCATGAAGCAACATTGGAAGATGGAATGGAAGAGGAAGCTGTAGAGAAGACACACAGGTAAAGAACTTCTAGCATGATGACATTACCATTTTTTTCATGTAAGAGTGGCATAAAGAAGATTTTTAAAAACTTTTAAAAATCTAAACAGTGATAGAAAGCATCTATAATTTATGTTCCTTGAATAGTTACATAAGATTGGAGCAAATATTAACTGCTTTGGGTGTTTGCATAGTTTATCTTGTAGTTAAGTCTAAGTTAGACTTGATTTTTGTAAACCTCTTTTTGTGTTGTAGGGTTATTTTCTTTATTTTAAAAGCCTCTCCCCCCCCCATTATATTAATATGCTAAGAAATATATATTTCTGACATGAAACAAAGAATTATATATAGGGAATAGATGTGGCCTTTCTCAATATTTAAAGGGTTAACTTTGGTATTACAAGAAGAAAAACACAAATTGAGACTGAGCAATTTAAAATTACAATGATTTTCAGATCAGGACTCTGGTAGGGGTGAGGTTGGTGACCTGGGTTTCTGAGGGCCAACTATATCGCTTGGCATTTTGAAGCAGGAATAGCAGTTGAAATAGTCCATAAATGCTTGTATTTTGCTCCTGTAGTCTTCTGATTTGCTTTTCCATCCTTTCTAACATAGTTTGCTATGAGGGGTTCCGGTTCTTCATTTCATACTGTGGAAGCCTTTAGTTGTCTTTTTGTTTCCTCTTTATAGCACTACTTCACAGGCTGTTGAAGTTGGGATGCAAATGAATGCAGAATTCATCATGCTCAATCACTTCAGTCAACGCTATGCTAAAATTCCTCTTTTCAGCGAGGATTTCAGTGAGAAGGTTGGAATTGCATTTGATCACATGCAGGTCAGTTAAAAATGTAGCTTAAGCTAAGAGAGTTCCACATTTTCATGTGCTTCTCTTGGATATTGAATGTATTTTCTAGTCACACAGTAAAATTATATTGGGGATCTCTGCCCAATGTCTCAAGCTATCAAAGTTGATGATTCTGTCTTACCTAAATGGATACACAACTAACACCTCATAATACTATGCAAGTATGTATAGTTTCTGTTGTTTTTCTCAGCACTCCTTTCTTGCTTAGACTGCAGTTTCTTCTTGAGTCCAAGCTTATTCTCCCTTCTGTGCATTAATTTTTATTCCTTCCTTTGAAGCAACCCAAACTGCATTATTTGGAGATGCTTTCCTTTCATTATTTTCTCACTCACAAGGCAGTGATTGTATTTCCAGAATGAGTCTGATTTGGAATAATTTAGTCTAGCAATCCCTTTCAGAGAATTTCCAATTTTAATTTTAAGAGGCATAGACACAGTAGATTAGAATTCTACTGGGCTGGGCTTAGTCTAGTGAGCAAAGAGTAATGTCTTCTCATTATCCAGTTGGAATATCAGGTCTGATAGGAAATCACTGGTCCAAGTTGCTCAGTTCCTCTTCAGAACGTATGTTCATCTCTCCATTGTGTAGCTTAGTCCCAAAGTTTTTCAGTGTTTCCTCTAGAGGAAAGTGGGAATCGAGAATAACTACCTTGTCAGGGATTGAAAGGTGGGAAGGAATTATAAATATTTGAGCATTCTTTTTCCAAATCAGAAAGAGTTGACTTTCTGCTTAAAGACTTTTTAAATTCTTTCTTCCGTTATGAACTGAAAGTGTGAATCAGGAGGAAACCCCCTGTGACACAGGTGCCATAGAAACCACAGCCCATGTCCTTTGTATTATCAGTTCTACAGGGATATTCGCCACCAGTTGATTAACACCCCCCCCCCATTTAAATTTCCAGGACACTCTGATAATTTTTATTTGTATTATCTGTTAAACAACCAAGATAAATGTATTTCTCTAAAAGTAGCAAAATTCTGCTACTTTATGTGTAAGCTTCGCCCACAAATGGTTGCTAATAGTTATTGATGTTAGGGGATAATTTTGTTTTGTTTGTTTCATAGAATATATTTTTATTGGTCAGTGACCAAAATAAAGTTTCTGTCTGTCTGTCAGGAGGAAATAGGTGCTCAAGTATTGTAACCAAGGTTAGCTTAAATGCTTTCTCATTTATCATCTCACTGAGAAATGTGAGCACAAGGATAGAGGTACAGTGGGGCAAAAAAGTATTTAGTCAGCCACCAATTGTGCAAGTTCTCCCACTTAAAAAGATGAGAGA